ATTCCTGGGTTGGACAGAGTCAGCTCAGCGTGGCTTCTCCCCACTGCTGTCGCTGCAATACCCACTGACTTTCCAGAGGCCGTGCTTAGGTAACAACTCAGGGGATACAGGCACCTTCTGCCGGGCCTGAGCTCAAAGCAGAGGCATTAAAAATAAGTTCAAGATGGGACTTCCCTGGCAGTCCAGTAGTTAAGACTCCACGCTTCCACTGAAGGGGACACAGGTCCAATCCCTGGTCGGGGAACTGGGATCCTGCATACCCCGCAATGTGGCCAAAATAATAATAAGTTCAAGCTTAAGAAAAGCTAGCTCTTAAATGGAGGAAGGGCTACAATCAGGAGTAAGAGATAGTTTCTCAAGAACAGTCAGTGAATAAATCACCCCTAGAAGGTCGCCCGGGGCATGAGAACAACTGCAGAACACTCTTCCCCATTCTATCCTCTACTGTGGAGAGGGGCTCACAGGCAAGGAAGGTTTAGGGGAATATATGGTGACTGATGAGAACAGAGGGAAATGAGGGATGGAAGCAAAGGTGTTCAGAAGGGAGGGTGCGGGGGGTGGGATATCTCTGTGGGAACAGGACCTACAATCCCTAGAGCAAGGAGGCAGGAATTCAGCTCACTTGCCCAGGAGCCTGGGAAGTCAAGGCCTGAGTACCAACAGCAACCTGAGCTCAACCAGGTGATGGGAAAACAGACAAGTCAGGGTGGCATTTGTTTTTATTAGAAAACCCCATTTGGTAAGAGCTTCCCTAAGCCAGCACAGAGACTGGGTAGCCTTCAGGAGTCCCATATCTTTCATCTTATCTTCCACCCTCTTCTGAGAGGGGAGGGCGGGAGATGGGGTGGTGTCAGGCAGTCTCCGAAGTGCCCCCTCCTGGACCCCTGAGAGAGTTCACATCGCCAGCAATGTACCCCGCGGCACCCCGGTGGTGCACCACAGGGCCCCTAGGCTCAAGGCGGTTGCCAAAGGCTTTCCTGTTTGTATGGCTTCACGATGGAACCAAGGAGGCTCTCAAAGACTCCCAGGTCTGGTCCTTCGCTCTTGTTGAGAGCAGGGCAGGATCAAGGAGGTGGCCAAGGGCTAAGGGAGAAGAGATTGCATTTGAGATACCCTTTGGAGTCTGGAAAGCACCTGTATTCCTTGGGAAGGGAGGACTGGAAGCCCCACTCAGTTCTTCTTGGTTTTGGGGGTGTCATATTTCCTCTTGCTGGAATACCACAACAGCAGGGGGATGCCGATGGAAGGGAGAGTCATGACCCCGAAGGCTGCCCAGTCCAGCTGTGAAGACAAAGGCCTTGCTTAGAAGTCTGGATTAGGGCACAGGAGGGGACCAGGAAGGAAGGGGTCCAATGAAAAAGGGAGCAGTCCAGCCCAAATTTTAAGCAGAACCTTCGCAGGAAGGTTCCTCTCTGGCTACTCTGGACACAGAATGCCTCGCTAAAGACTAATCTATACGTTTTGAGCTATGAAACCAAAGGTCTCGCCTGACCCAACCCAATCTGGAAGAGAAGCTTCTCTCTTCCAAACAATCTTTGAGGAGGGAGATGCCCAGGTCTTGCCTTAACAGTCAAGCCTCCTGCGACCTAACCCCTGCCCCCACCTCCAGCTCTCTCTTCCATTCCTCTGTCTCACATTCTGCTCTCTGGCCTCACTCAACTACCTGCCATTCCTGGATTGTACCATGCTTTTTCTCACTTCTGAGCTATTCCCTCTTCCTAGGGTGCCTCCCCTTCCTTACCTCCTCTTTAATAAGTTAAACCTCCCTCCTCCAGAAAATCCTCCCCGACTCTCAAAGACCAGGTTAGGTGTTCCTGTTGCATCTCCTCCAGAGCCTCGTGTATGATCTCTACCACAGCACTCTTCCCCCACTGACTTGTGCTGAAGCCCCTATGAGCCCATAAGATCTTTAATGGAAGGGACTGTGTCTTGCGTTGTTTTCTCAAAGCAAAGCACAGAACTGAGCATGTAATTAGGAACCTCATAATTATTCCCTGAATGAATGAATAAATGAATCTCCTCATTCAGTACTTTAGGCAAATCTTCAAAGAATTCTCCCCTAGACTAGACTACACCAAAGTTCCCATTTAACCTTCCCGATGCTCTGCCACTCTTTTAATCTAAGCAGATATACCTTTAATCCTTGAATTAGACCCAGGACTCCAAGATGGAGCTCTACTCAAGGCTGAGCAGAGAAAAAGGGAAGCTTTTTTTGGTTCTGGCAATTGTGATCGCATTGCCAAAAATCTCTAACCGTGGTTAAATCAGGATATTTGATGGCTGTGTGTATCAGACATCAAAACACAGATATGACAAGAACCAACCAACTAAACATATCTTCTAAGGAAGCCAAACGGTCCCAGAACCAAAAGCATGTTCTACTCCCAGGGGAATGCCAAGAAGACTGTAAAGCTTACAAAATGGGGGGAGAATCTCCTATCAAACTCCCTCTGAGCCAGGATTCCTCCCTGTCCAGGTGCACTGGTAAAGCCAATCTGAAAAGCAGAAAAGAAGGGCATTAAGGCAAGTCTCCAGCTCTTTCTCATCTGGGAAAGGGCAGTTCCAACCAACCCACTTCTAAGCAATAGATTCTTAGCTCCCAAAGGCCCAAGAAAGCAAAAAGATGAGGAAAAGTTTTTGAACTAGAGAGAGTTGGATGATTCTTAGTGTGTTGTAAAGATGAGTAAATTAGGAGCCAGGAGACACATGAGCATTTACTAAAAAAAGGTAGGACAGGTATGCAGCTGAAACTAAAGCCAAATCCCTCTATCTTAGCCTCAGATTCTGGCAAGAGTTGCTCACCACCACTGGCCCCTCTGCCCTTGGCAATCATTTCCCCATTCCTCAAGTGGAAACACTCTTCTGTACCTCACAAGTTGACATGAGGCTCAAGTGAACTAATGAGAAGGATTCTGGAAAGTATAAAGCCCTACCCAAATGTACATTACTAGTGGAGGGGCTGAGTCTGCCCCACATTCCTCTGTCTTGGAGAGGAGGCCAAGAGTTTGAAGCTCACTGCAAACAACTTTGTTAGATAAAGTGGCTGCTGAGCCTTTAATTTTGTGTCTTTTAACCCATCAAGGACCAGGTGGAACCAAAGAGTCTTAGAGGTGGTTCTAAAAGCACACATGATAGAAGATATGAAAACATAACCAGGATTACAAGAATATGGTTCCACATGGTTTATAAAAAAGAAGATAACTCAGAGAGTACACTGAATGTTTGAGACTCCTGGATTTCTTTTAGCTCTATGGTTGACTCTGTTAAGTCCCTTCCTTACTGTGCACTCACTAAGTAGCCTAAAGCCCAATTGTACTTATAAATTCATGACCCAAGCTTTTTGAGGGCTAGGACAGTGTCTTAATCTGCTTGGTATTTCCTAGAGTCTAGCACCTTGCAGGGGGCTCAATAAATGTCTGCTGACCTTTACATCAATCAGTCAAGAGACTGGTTATCGCTGGGTTTCTTTTCTACGTGGGAAACAGAAAGAAATCTAAGACAAAGTCCCTTGCTTCAAGGAGTTTATAATTAAACTGGGAGATGGGAGTGAGGGAAAGACCTAGATACAGGAAAGAGAACTAATAAAGATGGTCAATAATTAAATGTTCAAGTGGCATAGACTATAAGAGCTATAGAAGTTTAGATGCAGTCAGTGACTGTTTAGTGAAAGAATGAGTAGGAAAGAGCGATATGAACTGTAAAAGCAGAAGACAGAATCAAGGAGACGCAGCTCAGAGCTAGGTCTTAAGGCGGCTTTGGATAATGAAGCGGAGGAGAGAGAGTAGAGAGTACTTCAAGCAGAGACCAAAGGCAAAGTGGAAAAAATGAGCACTGAGAGCGGGGGAGGTGCCACAGGAAGGAGCTTGGTCTAATTAGGACGGAGGGTCTTCGAGGGTAGAGAGAGGAAGGGAGAGGCAGAACACAGTGAGAATGCTGGAGGGTACGGCGAGAAGAGGCAGGAAACTCAGCCTTGCTGCAAGAAGCAGGGGCATTCTAAGCAAGGGAAGGATACAGACACAGCAGAGACCAGGAATCATCTGATGGCAGCACAGAAGACAGATGGGAAGGACAATGATGGTAATAAACTGGGCAGCACATGACACTGTACAGATAAAAAGTGAAGCGGAAGGGAATGCTACAGTACTCCCCTCCCATTCATTTCAATTGCTTGATTCTGAGACTTTATGATTTGAAACATACTTCCTTCCTATGATGATATCTCAAGTTTTTGGTCCTTCTTATCTTCCTCAGAATTTAGCACCTACTCTGGAGATTTTCTACAAGAGTTTTCAAAGGAAGGCAGAGCTGAGCCCCATCCAACTAAGGGTTTGGGTAACTCACCACAACGGGCCCATCCTCCTGGGCCAGATAAGTAATAGTTGCTGAGGTGAAGTTGAAATAACCAGCCTTGAGAGGGCGCAGGACCACGGTGTGGGAAACGTTGCTAGCACTGACCCAAGAGTTAAGGAGGGAAAAAGATGAAGCTACAGTTGTAACAAACTTTCAACTTAGGGACTAAATGCACCATTCACAAAAAGAGTTGCCAACACATGTAATGATTTCACATCTGCAATATATTGCGAAAATAATAAACACAGGCTTTTTTTCTAAGCCCGAAGTGTGTAGTATAATATGATGTCTTTCTAGCCAAGTCTTAAGGGGTCTATGACATACTCAGTATTGAGGTGTTTAAATTAAACTTTTAAAGCAATATAGGTTAGGGATGAAAAATTAGTCACTTAAGGTCACAGAAAATCCTTCGCTGCCTAAAACTGCAGGAAGTTCTTGAAAATATAAAACAAAACCTCCCCAAAACCCAAAAAGAACACTGACCCTTGCCAGAAAATCTAAATATACTTTAAATCACAGGGAAAACAAATAATCTAATTCAAAACACTCAGGAGGGCTTCCCTGGTGGCGCAGTGGTTGAGAGTCTGCCTGCCAATACAGGGGACACGGGTTCATGCCCCGGTCCGGGATGATCCCACATGCCGCAGAGCGGCTGGGCCCGTGAGCCATGGCCGCTGAGCCTGCGTGTCCTGAGCCTGTGCTCCGCAACATGAGAGGCCACAACAGTGAGAGGCCCGCGTACTGCAAAAAAAAAAAAAAAAAAAAAAACGCAGGAAATAACCGGTAGATCCAAATAAGGGATTTATTGAAGAAGACTCTTTAAAAGGTCACCCAGGGAATTTCCCTGGTGGTCCAGTGGTAAAGAATCCACCTTACGATGCAGGGGACGCGAGTTCGATCCCTGGTCAGGGAACTAAGATCCCACGTGCCACAACTACTGAACTCGTGCGCCTCAACTAGAGCCCACGTGCCACTAACTACAGAGCCCAAGTGCCCTGGAGCCTGTGCGCTACAGCTAGAGAAGAGAAAACCCACACGCCACAACTAGAGAAGCCCACGCACAATGAAGACCCCTTGTGCCACAACTAAGACCCAACGCAGCCAAAAGAAAAAAAAAAAAGTCACCCAGGTCCTCCACACTAGCATCCCACTGAATTTCTTTTTTTTTTTAAATAAATTTATTTATTTATTTAATTTTTGGCTGCGTTGGGTCTTTGTTGCTGTGCGCGGCTTTCTCTACTTGCGGCGAGTGGGGGCTATCCTTCCTTGCGTTGTATGGGCTTCTCACTGCGGTGGCTTCTCTTGTTGTGGAGCACAGGCTCTAGGCGTGCGGGCTTCAGTAGCTGTGGCTTGCGGGCTCTAGAGCGCAAGCTCAGTAGTTGTGGCACAAGGGCTTAGTTGCTCCGCGGCATGTGGGATCTTCCCAGACCAGGGCTCGAACCCGTGTCTCCTGCATTGGCAGGCGGATTCTTAACCACTGCACCACCAGGGAAGCCCCCCACTGAATTTCTTTTAAAAGCACCTTAAACATCCTCGCCCAGCCACAAACATCTGTCTACATTCTCCCAATACAGAATGTTTTAGAACTTTATGACCCGAACTTCAGGAACCTCCTTCCTCAGGCCCACCCTAAATCATGCTCACACAATTCTCACCAGTCTCTCTCGCTCCATCTTATCCAGAGCGGCGACAAGAATGACCCTGCTGATTTGCTTCAACATTTCCGCCCTCCCACCCACCACCACCAGCCTTCATCACCCAGTGTCAAGAGGATACGGAGCAATTCGGTCCCATTTGACGTTGAGCATTCCAGAGACAATGCCAAAGTCTTCTGGAGGGAAGGAATCATCAGATAATTCCACATCTAATGCAGCACTAGAAAAGGGAGGAAACAAAGAAAGGTTAGTAATGGGTATAAAATTAAAGGAATCAGCAATCAAATCTGCCTGCCTGTCCTAAAAAATCATAACTTTAAAAGACAGATATGAGTCACAGTTATTTGGGTTTGTTGCACTGAAGAATCCCAGCCAAGGCCCGGATTCTGGGCACCAAAATACTCAAATATCTAGGAAAGAATGGGCCTGAATCCGTTTTTGCCCCAATTTCTTCTCACGTGTGTGTCTGTGTATGTGTAAGGAGGGGAAGAGGAGCAAGATGCATGTGGAAAAGAATATTAAAGGGAATAAAGGGAAAAAACGACAACAAAAATGTTAATGAAAGAAAGGAAGCTGAAACTAAACCCCTGAGGTAACGAAGGATCATACATTTTCTGCCTTCTCATCTTCCTCTCCCTGTTTCACCACAATTCTTGCTTCTTCCCCACTCTGAAACTCTTCCAGCTCAAAAAGTGGAAGATGGTTTCCTGTAGCTTAGGTAAGAATGTCCTCCTCTTCCAGAAGCAGATCCAGCAGTATATTCACTCACTCATGATATCTGTTGCTGGAAATCTCCCAAAGATAAATCACTGTTGGTCCCTGTTCCCAGCGGGGAAATCTAAGAAACCTGAAAAGGGCCCAACCTATAGCTCCAGGGCCTCCTTACCTTGAGCCAACATTGTAGATGTTGTACTGTAAGGTCAGGTCTCGCCCCTCCACGGCATATCTGTTCAGCAGTGATTAGGCCAAAAGAAGCCTGGCTCCTTCCTCTGCTTGAGTGACAGCAAATAGAGCGGAATGCCAGCAGCCTCATCTTTGGAGAAAAAAGCAAAGTGAGCAATCAACCCAAACCTGTAAAACCAGCAAGAGCTTCCTGACAGCCCTTTCTTACAAAGTCTATTAAAACTCTTTTGAGCTTAACAAAGCAGCAGCCCCTTCTACAGAGCAGTCTCTAAGCCACCAGCGCCCTGGGTGCTCCCCAACTGGTGCGATGTTCTGAGGGGACTGCATGTGGCCAGACTCCTTGGGCCGCCGGATTTCGGCCGATCTCGGACCTGCAACAGCCTCTAGCTTTCCTTAACGCAGGAGTCCCCCACGGCTGCTGCCTTCCCGCTGCTCCTCCTTCTCCACCAGCTTCCCTGTGATCCCACGCCGCGCTCGCAGGGTCCTCCCCCATGCCCCTGTATCCCAGCCCCCATCCTTCCCCCGGGATCCCATTCGTCCTCGCCCTCCACATCCCTTTCTGGGGCCCTCCGAGAGCTCAGTCCGCTCTGCCCCCTACCCTCCTCTTGCCAAGACTACACGTCCTCCCGCCGGCGTGCCCTCTCTCCTCCCCGCCCTCCCCGAGCTAACACTCAGCCGCTGAGTGTTGTGCGGACGTGAGACTCCCCGGCTCCCGCTGGCACCCCCAGTCCCTCGGGACTCACCGCGCGCACCCTC